ATTTACAATTTTTTCATAGACGAAAAATGAACACAATCAAAAATAGTTTAAAAAACTACCAAATATGGGACGAGAATGGAACCACGGTCCATTACCACAGGAATATTCATCTATCGCTTTTAGGCCACGACTGCACTCGTAAAATGATGGAAATAAATCTGTAATTACGAAAGTAATGAAACTTTAATCGTAAATATCTCAAAAACTATTGAGTAGTTGCCGCTATAATGATATATTTTCTTAAACTGCATGACGATATCTACAAACCTGCAGAGTATCAACTAAATCGGTGACCCGAAGCACTTGCACTTCCTTGTTAGCTTAATTCCTCTTCATTTAAATATCATTTAAACAGATATTGCCCACTCTCTATTTTCAAATTCCAAAGGGAACAGTGAAAATTCACAAGAGATAGGACATATGTTACACTTTATGCGTAGTTCTTAGCTTGATATCGTTTCCCAAAGGAAAACGATACCAATTACCAGGTTTCACTACGTGGAGGTGGCTACGCATTGAGACCCGAGATGCGCCCTAGTGGCCCTATTGGCGCTATCTGTATCAAAGATATATAATCTAACTTGGAGCGAATTAAGTTAAAACGACTCTGCTGATACTTTATTAAATTTCGTGTTTTACGAAGGGGACTTCGCTTCGGTATACTACGATTCTATTGTCACGACACTAAGATATCTTATTTCTCATAAAGATTGGAAATGAAATATAAAACACGCGAACAAGTTAAAAATCGCAGATGGCACGAGGTACTTGTTCTCATAGTTGGTTCTTATGTTACGCGAATAGTTCATAATGTTACCACTTGTTATCATAGTGGCGCTACTTTACATTTACTGGATATTTAAATTGATATTGACGATAGGGACAATTTCTTACAACAGGATGACAACTCGTGCGTGCGGTTTCGTTATATTTCGTCGTATGCAAGGAGTAGTTGAATATCTTCTACTGCAAGTTTCTTACGGCGAATATCATTGGTCACCACCGAAAGGTTTGTAACATAATCGTACTTAAACAAATACAGAGAACAGGCGCTTCGTTATTTTACGAAATTTTACTTATAGGTCATGTCGATCCCGGTGAATCGGATATGGAAACCGCTTTACGCGAAACAAAAGAAGAAGCGGGTTTGTTACCTAATGATTTAAACATTTTTGAAAACGTGAAACAAGAATTAAATTACGAAGCCAATGGAAAGCCGAAAATTGTCATTTATTGGTTAGCAGAATTATTGAACATTGACAAAGTTATTCAATTATCGTGCGAACATCAAGCATATAAATGGCTTCCACTTGAAGAAGCTCGCTCTATAGCGAAATATCAAGATATGCAAGACACATTGAAGAAATTTAATGATTACATAACAAAAAATCTTTTATAATAATAACATTTTTACAAGTTCTTGTACTATTATTAAATTGCTATTTTTTACGTTTAAAATGATACAAGTGCTTGATGTAACATTTATTAAGCGTATTTATACCAATTATATTTGTCAATTCCTTATTTATAATTTCTTACTTTAAAATAGACCTAGGCGAAATTTATTTCAAATAATAATTTAAAAATTTAGAAAATTTATTTACTTTAAAATATATTTTGGAAATTTCTCAAAACGACCAGATCTGCTTTAGCGTATCATGATTAATATACCCCAATACTTGAATTTGATCATATATATATGTATAGAATATATGGATTATATACATATACTGCATAGAAAATTTGTTTTTATTGCTTCATAATTAAATTACAAAAATTTTGTTGCATTAAAATTCAATCGCTTTTAATTACTTGTTAAATTAATAGAATTGTATCTTTTTGACATTTCGCTTTTTACAGTTGGTATATATTTTAAAACACGTCACGTTGTCTTTCTGTAACAAAGTAACGTAACCTCACTATTTGTACCTAAATATTTGGAGATCATTTACTAACATGATTAATCCACTACAAAGGTTATATACTTTCTTGAAATATTGGTACTTTAGATATATGCTTGTTACCGAGTTGTATATGGTTGAAAAATGGGAAAGAAACTTCATCAGTATCCTTTTAAAAACATATATTTGTACAAATTAGTATTTCATTAATGAATATATAGTATGTAATTATATATATTTTAAAAACAGTAATAAATTGTCGTGTATAATAAAAAATAGATATACTATCGAAAATAACAATTATGAAAACAAAAATGCGATTCCTATATTATATATAGATATATTTCTTATTTCGCTGTTCTTTTCCTTTTTCTTGGTTAATTGCAAGATAGTACTACCAATTATACAATATGCATTACATTATTCAAAAGGAATAATGTCCTAATGGACTGAATTTACTATAAGGAAGATTAGTATAGTTTTGTGTTCATTAAAAAAAGAAAAATGTTGGACATAATAATTAATATTGGATATTAAAACCAGTAATAAATTTGTATATTATAAGCAAAATCACATTAATATGTTAATTCATTTTAATGAATTCATATAATTTAACTTGTTTGTACATGTTGGTATGATTATACATGCATCGTATTGTATAGTTGAATTTACATATTCAGTTAACAAATATTTAACTTTCTTTCAATATAACTAATAACTAGTATCCGATCCTTTTTATACTTAATATTAAAACATATTTTGTTGTATGAAAAATTAACTTATTTCAGAATGTAATATATTTGGCAGTAAAATTATGACTTTGTCAAAATTGAAAATAATTATATTCAAAACATCTTTTTTTTTTTATTTATTAACAATAAATGCCAACACAGATAGTTTTCTTAATACAACTGACATTTCATGTTAGTAATAGACAGACCAAGAGGATCAGACTTCTGAAAATGAAAAATGTAGCACAATACAAGTTTTACAATGGTATTGGATTTGAGAAATTTTTAATTATCTTTAAACGTTATTAAACATACCTTTAAATATAACTAAGTTATAATTCAAATGAATATCAATTCAATTAAATTACAAATAAATGTTAAGAACCACAATAAGAAAAATTTAATTACTAAATTATATAAAACTTATAATATGTAGTGTATTTCAAGATGATATTTTAATATATTTACACATTACAGTTCCTCTTTCCTTTTTCAATTAACATATACATCTATTTGTGATGCAAATATGAGAGATGATAGTAAAATGAAGAACGACAACTACTATGTCAATCATACTAATATATGTTTCATTTTATGTAGTATATGTATAGTTTGTTGGCTAATATTATGATTCTTCTTAAGCGCAAAGTGTCTCAAAACAATTTCAATCATCAATGTTATAATGTTATACATAAAAAAGTAGCACTTTCAAATTGACATTTATGTAGACACTTAAATTAATTAACTAAAATCATCGAGGCTCATCAAAAAAATGTAATTATAATTGCAAGTATGCGATACTTGTGTAATATAAAAATAATACCCTATTTGACATTATAATGTGAAAAAAAGTAAAGGACGGATAATACTAGAAAAAAAGGGAATATCGTTTTTTAAATTTTGTAACATTTACAAAAAATGAATAACAGTTTTTATATATATATAAAATCACTGTAATAAAGTGATAGATGGAAATCCAAAATCAATAAAGTAATGTTTGACAAACTCTATTAAATATGAATACATAAATTTATATTAAAGGTAAATATGATATGAATCTTCCATCTGGTTGTAAATCATTCTCAGTATCTAATCGCCTAACCCGTACTCTTTGCTTGTAATGATATTCCTTGAGATAACTCTTAAGCGTCTTTGGTAATTGTAACTTATTTATACCGTCATACGTCGTTCGTGTAGTAATTACCGCTCGACATAAGTGTTGTAAAGGAAAAGCAAAATTTCGGTGAAATGGTATGGTAAGCATAGGTTCAAAGAACATAGAACACGATGGATATTTGTAATGCTCAATTAAACCACATACCTGAAAAAAATACATACAACTTTTTAAGCCTCTGTTTAGCGTATTTTCCATTTTTTATTCGTAGATATAAAATCGTATTCTATACCGTTTCCGAAGCATAAACTCCCGGATCATGCGAATCAAAACTAAATTTATGATTCCACTGTTCAATTCGAGCATGTAGAGATCGTCCATATTTTCGAAAACTAACAGAGAAAATAAACTCTTCTTGAGCTGAGTCACGTAACAAGAACGTTCCTTCTTGCTTGCCCTCTAATAAACGTTCAGCTTCGTACCTATCCATTTTACCCCAATAAAAAGAGCAAGCCGTAATCGATCTAAGATCCGGCACAAGACAATGAACGTAATCAACCTACAAAAATACATTAAAATTTAACTATTTAACAATTATCAATCAATCATGACTTATATTCATATAAAAAGTAACTAGTTAGTCTACCTGTGTATGCGCTGGCCTCTCAATATTTGGAATTAACGTAAAATCGATTTGAGATAATGCTGTAAGAGCAGCAGCTTGTATACCAGCATGTGCTTGAAACAAAGCTGCTAAACTGTCTACTGTTATTCCATTTGGATGTACTTGAATTCCTGAAGGATAATTAGGCTTATAACCAGGAGGTGGTTCAATGCCCTCCTCCATTTCTCGTGCACGTTGTAACCGAGCTCTTTTGTCACAATCCTAAAATAAAATTTATTAAAATCTATTCAGAATTTTCTCTCATGAATCTCAAAAGCATAGTTAAGACATACTTCCATTGGAAATTCTTCTGGATTAAATCTTGAGAGGTCGATCACAGGACTGGGTGGAAGTGGTCCAAGTACTGGACTTTGAGGAGCAGATCTACTATTAAATATAACACCAGCTCCCATGGGGTGTTCTTCAGTTCTTCTATAACCAGTGCAGACACAATCTGAACTGTTATTTCCTTGACCAGGAATAACATCTGTGCTTTTAGAATTTTTGTTCTTAGCACAATTAAATTTTAATACCCAGCTACTTCGTTTCTTTTTTGAAGATAAAATATGTGTACACACTGGACTTTGATCCTTATTACGTTGTTTACCTAGTAACATTAAACTTCATACATTGTACTTTTGAAATTCACAAAAAATGATAATATAAATACAAAAAGATCAGAAAGATATATATATATATATATATTACCTTTTCGCTTTCCAAATGATAAAGTTTTAGAACATCTTCTTAAAGGGGGATTTATTGGACTATCTTCAGAACTACTACAACATGCTTCCTGTTGCTTAAAACATATCTCCCTAGTTATGTTTCCATTACTACATATTTGTTTTGAATCTTGAGTCTCAATTGGTTGACTATACAAAGTTTCAAATCTAGAATTATGATTATCTAGATCTATATTTAAATGATCATTATCCAAACTCCCATCTGCCTTGCATTCTTCATGAAGAATTAAACTTAAATTCAGTGCAGGTACATTTCCATTATTTTCATTAGTGTGCAAATTTCCTATATCATCCTGATTCATCATTTCCAATTGTTCTGGTTGAATAACATTAGTGCATGCTTCAGACGATTGCCTTTCACCATCCATTCTAAAAAATTCCTTGAGACTAGCGAAATGCTGTCCCATTATTAAATGGATTGACAGGCATCTTACGGCCCTCAAAAATATTCCATTTGTATTTCTCTTCTATATAAATGTTATAAATACATTTACATTATACAATAACATTGTATTATATTATATAAATTTGCCAATCAATAGAAAGTCTTGATTATCTACAACAAAGTATATTACTTCAAAATCTGCTGGAATGAAAATTGTTTTGTTTTAAAATACACAAACTAATTATTAATTCTCTGTAAACAATTATTAATCCATTTTTATGCAAAATATAATTATATACTAATTACCTAGAATGTAATTTTAAATTCTCAGTGGAAAACAATAACTTATTCCCTATAAACATACATTTCACCTATTTTAAACCTTTTATAAAATGCAATTTTATATCATACACGCACACACACACACACGCGCGCGCGCACACACACACCACACGCATACACACATTATATATTTATTTATTTATTTATTTATTTATTTATTTACCAATAACATAAAAATCCTATAACATAATATCTTCACAAAGGCTTTAAAAAAAAAAAAATTGTTCAGACGTTGATAATGAGCATTTCCTAATGGCAGCTGAAACACGTCCAAACGAGTTTTGATAAGATTTTCTCATCAATTTAGGCACATACGACGATAGATTTTTTCAACCTTCACCAAAGTAAGTATTTCACAATGTAACCAATATCATGTATTAAAAAATGACACACTTCTCTCTTGATTAATGTAGTGAAAGGAGTAAAATTGTCAAAACATCATCTAATGCATCGTCAGCCATTTTCCCTAACTGATTCTTCCTTGTGCATCATTGGTAAGATATAAACTAGATAGTATTACACTCATTGAAAGGAAAGAGTACGTTTTAAATACGCAACAAATAGAAATGTACTAATAATATTTTTAAAGGTATTCATATAAAATTCATAAACACTTTTAATCATGCAATTAGTTTTTATTAATTATATATTCAATATAAAAAATATTAATACCTATAAATAGAATAATATTATCATTATTATTTAATAACATATTAAGCAAATAAAATAACTTGTCCCTACCTTTATTGAAAAATCTGCATAACTATCATACACTTATCAACGTATGATAAATTAATAGCAGTGTTTAGAGTTCTATATGAAGATAACAAAGAAGGTGCTTTTTTAAGTAAAATAATTAAATTTAATAATGGATATTAATGAAAAATATATAGTATTAGTAACAGGATTTGGCCCATTTGGAAATCATATTATTAATGCAAGTTGGGAAGCTGTGAAGGAATTAAATAAATTATGCGCTAATTCAAAAGAAATGACGGATGTTGAAATAATCGTAAAAGAGATTCCAGTTTCGTACGAAGATGTAACTATGTATATATCCAAGCTTTGGAAAGAATATAAGCCTATAGTAAATATTAATTTCTATGAAATTATGCTTTAAGATTTTCTGAAGATATATAATTTTTTTCTCGTTTTATTTTTGGACAGCTAATTTTACATACAGGTGTGAGTTCCAAAGCACAGTGTTTAACTATAGAATGTTGTGCTCATAATAACGGCTACTTAAGACCAGATATATTTAACAAATGTCCAGATGAAAATAATATTGAATCTAAAATGTTTGAAACTAAATTAAATGTTAAGCAAATATGTAATGTAATTAATCAAAATACAGGTAAAACAAAGTGTAATGCTTGTATTTCATACAATGCAGGGAGATATTTATGTGAATATATATATTACAAATCACTACAAATTGCACCTGAAAGAACATTGTTTATTCATGTACCTGATTTTAATCAATATTCGAGTAATCAAAGTGCAAAAGGTTTATATGATATTTTAAATTATACAATTGCAGATGTAAGAAAATATAGACAATAAGATTTACAATGTAAAAATTATAACTTAACTGCATATAGTACATATTTATTTCTAATAAAAAATGAATGTCTATTTAAATTATCAAAATTATTCTTAATATAAAAATTACAATTATTTTACATAAATGTATATGTGACGTATGTCACAATTATATTGTCATTTTATCTATGATCCACCATGTTGAAACCGAGTACGTGCTGGTGGTATATTGTACCTAAGAACTTGAAATTCATGTTTTCTTATCAAAGTAGCTACATGACCCATTTGAATTGTACAATCTGGATTTAAATTTGGTGGTAATAATGTGCATTCACGTTCCAAAATACATGCCAATCCTTCTAAGAGTTCTATAAATCCCATTGATGCTGCAGCTCTACGTAACCGATTTACCTCCTATATATATATATATGTATATATATATATACATATATATAATATAATGTAATATATACATTATATATACATTGCACACACACACACACACACACACACACACATTATGAATAGAAATATTTGTACTTTTGATATTTTATTATCTTACCTTATAAAAGTTCTGGGTTTTTTCTGGTAACTTTCTTGCATGCCTTAAAATTTTCTGAATATCTGATTGTAATCCAACTTGACGAATCCAAGAAGGAGCATTTTGAGTATAACTTCTTTTTTCATTTGGTCTGACTGGAAAACTAACAGTAGCACCCTTAGCTGCATCAATAGGACCTAAATTGCTGAAATTACCTAACCATGGTACAACATCTAAACCTGGTTCCAAGACTGTTAACATTAAATTTGATTTTTTCTTTGTATCTGCCCAAGAATATATAAACCCATACCATTCACTATTTAATAAGCAAAGAGCTACCATATTTTCAACCTACAAGAAATATCCATTCATTAATTACTAGAAAATTGAAAAATTGAATTCATTGATATATTGATACCTTCAAAGCTCCATGTAATAGGACACAAAAAGATGGCACTTTTCCTTCATCTCCATTTTCATCTGTATCTGAATCTTCTTCTAAAGATATTCCTTGCATACATTGACTTTTCTCTGTAGCTAATGGTAATACTAAATGTCTAGATATAGCACTAGGACTACCAACATCTGCCACTGATATAAATCCACAAATTTCTATGGTTTTTGATATTATTAACCCAGAAACTAGTTCAAAATCTGTTTTTTTAGTATATGGCTAAAACAAAATAATATCATCCAAAACTTGAAATAAGCTATCTTTTTATACCTTATTATTTACCATAGGTGCTGGTGATAGGAGAATACGAGAACCCAAATTTCCACATTTCAAATATCCTTGAAAAGATACATAATTAGTTTCTGCTAATTTCTGGAAACATGCTGTGACTGAATGCTTTGAAAGTATTGTTTCTGGAACTAGCACTACGCTATCGCCACCAGCAAGTTCAACTAATCGTTGATAAAGTGGTAAACCAATATGTAAACCAGTATCTGATAAAGCATTGAAATTAATAAATACAATTATAGAAATTTTAGTATATAATCATATTTTAACATACCTTGCTGTGATGCAATGCATACAACACTTAATTTTCCTGGATAAGGAAAAGGTAAAGGAAATGGATTTACATCTCTTGTTACATTTAAAGAATTCAAAGAGTCACCTAAAGACATTGGTCCTACTCCAGGATTACCATCAGTGATTAATACTACTTGACATGCAGTAGTGTTGCCCCATTCTGCCATAATGACATTATTAACACCATGAAGAGCAGTTTCAATGCAGGTCTTATCACATTCTTCAATATTTTGTAATTTTGAACGTATACTATCATAATCACGAGTGAATGGACATATAACTTCATATAAAGATGAAAAGACCACCTAAAATGACAGAAAAATAGTTTTATAATTGAAATTAATGAATAAGATAAAAGATAAATAATTAAGTATTCCTGCAAAATTGCTTACTAAAGCTACAAATTCTAATTTTGAGTTCACTTGTAAATAATGTAATAATGCATTTATTCCGTATACAGCTAAGTGATGCCTTGTTATATGTTCGTTTTGATTATTTTCATTTGACCCGCTTCCTAATACTGGTCGTCTCATTGATAAAGACACATCTAATGCGATAACTGTTGGCATTTTTATATATTGTTGAACAAAAATTCGATTTCTGTTTACACCGACATAATGTTTTAATAACCAACAAAAAGTAGTGTAATAATAAGCATTTGAAAATTTGAGGTTATAGTGTTATTTACCTTTGTATAACACATTTGTGCGTAGGACGAGAGAGAGTGTGAGAGAGGGAGGGCTTTTTCAATTGATTCATCACATATATATAAATATCATAAATAATATTATAAATATTATAAATATTATAAATATTACAAATCAATGTTCTAGTACTATCTTATCTTTCCCTGTCTCGATTACAAAATACTGCTACTAAATTGTTATTTAAGATTGAAAATGATAATCAATTTCTAGCTGATGCTAATAACGATAGTTTTTGAAGATTGATTGTTCATATGTATCTTTTTCTGAACTATATGTTTAATAACACCACTATACAGCATTTATATAATTCTCTTTTCATTAAAAAAAATTATGTTTTTTTTTACGTTATATCTTATAATTAATTTATTTATTCGTATATTTAATTAATAAATTCAGCACAACTATTTTCATTTTATAGCAACTGAATAAAACATCGTATTTCATTTATAATGTATTTTGGTAAAAAAATATATTGTTTACTTTCAAGTACATTAAATATGTATTATCATAAAATATTTGATTATTTATCAGATATTTAATAACCTCGTATTTGTTAAATTAAATTTTTCTTATCATTGAATTTTAAATGTATGCGACATCAGTTGATTACGGACTACGTGATCAAAGAAATAATATGTAGTGTGACTATTTTAATGTGCTTATTACGCATATTTGTGATTATTCTAATGATCATTGTAATTTATGATATTAATTGTACTATATAAAGTAAAATACAAATTCTGATATAATTGGAAATCTAGTGGACGGAAATATTTAATATACGATGCATTTGTATTTTATTATTCGCGTAACAATTTTTGTATCTTTCATTTTATCTGCAAAATCTTGGCATTTTAGAAATAAACAAATATCTCCTGTTATCTTTAGTAATTATCTCTCATTATATTAACTAATATTTGTAATATATAACTTATGACAATAAAATTAATTTGACTATTATGCTAAAAGTTCCAGGTGATGGTGGTAGTCAAATTGAAGCAAAACTTAACAAAACAACGGTGGTACATTATTTATGTGAAAAGGTTACTACTGATTATTTTAATATCTGGTTAAACTTGGAATTACTTGTACCAGTTGTCATAGACTGTTGGGTAATTGTCATGTTATTTTATACTTTTTGTATTTCTTATAATGTATAAAAAAATTAATTATTCAATAAAAATACCATGTTATAGATTGATAATATGAAATTAATTTATGATAATGTTACAAGAACTACAAGAAATCAGGATGGTGTTGATATACGCGTACCAGGGTGGGGTGATCCATCTGTTGTTGAATATTTAGATCCAAGTAAAGCTTCCTCTGGAGATTATTTTAAAGATATTGGTAATATGCTAGTTAATGAGCTTGAATACATTAGGAATCGTTCTATACGTGGTGCACCGTATGATTTTAGAAAAGCTCCTAGTATGTATATTTATTAGCATGTATATTGTAGGTGTGATTATAGGAAATAATTATTTTATTGTTATTCAGTTAATTTTTGATTCTAGATGAAAATAGCGATTTTTTTAATAAATTAAAAGATTTAATTCAAGAAACATATTATATGAATAAGCAAGTTCCTGTAACATTATTAGCACACAGTATGGGTGGACCAATGTCACTTATATTCTTACAACATCAATCTCAGAAGTGGAAAGACAAATACATCAATTGTTTGATTACTCTTTCAGCTGTTTGGGGAGGCAGTGTGAAAGCGCTTAAAGTATTTGCAATTGGTATGAAATATAACTGATACATATACTACTATATATGAAAGTATATTTTCATAACTATTTTGCAATTATAGGAGATGACTTAGGTGCATATCTTTTACGCCAAAGTATACTCAAAGATGAACAAATAACGAGTCCTAGTTTAGGGTGGTTACTACCATCAAGATTATTTTGGAAAGACACAGAAGTATTGGTACAGTCAGAACAAAAAAACTATACATTGCGCACATTACAAGATTATCTATTGTAAGATTATATAATGTACATTAATAATAAGTTATTAGTTTACTTATATTATCAAGTGACATATAATAAATTTTGTAGAGATATAAATGTTCCAAATGGTTGGGAATTTAGGAAAGATAATGAAAAGTATCAATTAGATTTTACTCCCCCTGGAGTTGAAGTACATTGTTTATATGGAAATGGCATAGATACAGTACAAAGGTATGTTACTTTATTTCAACTTATCAATTTAATAATAATTTACATTTTTCTAAATATTTATATATAAACTGTTTCTAGATTATATTATAAGCCTGGTACATCAATAGAAGGTACTCCTCAATTAATTCCTGGCGATGGCGATGGTACTGTAAATTTAAGAAGTTTAGAAGGTTGTAAATATTGGCAGGGTAAGCAAGAACAAAAAGTTTATTCTCAAGCTTTTCCTGGTATAAATCACATGGATATTCTTAGAAATGTTAATGTTTTAAATTATATTAAAACCCTTTTAAAACTGTGATGCTATTCAAGCAATTGTGTCTTTAATATATTTATTAAACCAAACCTTTTAAAAAAGTAATAAATTGTAAATAAATGATTAATTATGATAATTTGTGACTGAAAGTTACAGTTAAAAATAATACCCATGTTTATTATATGCTTTCTGTACATATACACAATCATTAGCACTTTTTATATTAAGTAACTTTTAATGTTTTAACTAAATAATATCCCAAAATATTATCATCATTTGTCTATATCTAAACAGTTACAAAGAAACAACATTAGTTTTTACTAATATTTTATATTTCTGATATCCTTTTTAAATTTCTGTATTTATGTAACTGCCTAATATAGTTAATATACATGAATAAATTTAGAAAAAAATTACTTTTATTCTCTATAGTAGTATCTGTATAATATATTAAATTTTATCAGCACATTTTTCTAATTTTATGTGTCTCAGGTACAAATTTATTACGTATACACTATGTAATTTCTATTTACAGTATAATTTAACTTTTTTGAATTTGAACTATAACAAAGTTTTTAAAAATACAAATTGTTTACAACAATGTATATTTACTATAATAAAAACCCAATAAAAATCACGCGATAAACAAAATATAATCAAAAGTATATAAACAGGAACAAATAAAATTGTAAAGTTATATTCTTTTATTGGTAATAATTATCTTATTAGTATAGTAAGTTCATCATTGTTTGCAAATTTGAGTAAATACACACTTTCATCACAGATTGTAAAGATACAATTATAATGTAAGCAACAAATGTATCTTTTACATTTAAAAAATTTTTTTTTAATGTGATTTCAAAATATACATATTGTAGGTAATTTTTTGTCCTAAATACATGTATGCTTCATCTTGCCTGCCTTCTTCCTTTTTGCCTATTTTGAGATTTTTGTTTATGCTTTGATGTTATAAATATGTGCACAAAAAGTTCATGTCAAGTTTAAAGAACACAGCATAAAGGCAGCACAGGAATGCTCAAGATGCTCCTTATAATACATCCAGAAACAAATTCGTTTAATCGCTGATTAATAAGATTACCAACGATCCTTGATATCACATATATTTTTCAGTATTACACCATTTCATTATGTTTGTGTGCCCGATAATTTATCTTATTATTTATCAAGCTAATGGTGTATCAGTAAAATGGTACTTCGTTTTAAGGACATACAAATGAATCTATTATTTAAATAGATTAAATTCATTTAATGTCAGTTAAGACCAGATGAAGATCTTAAAAAGGCATACAATCCTACGGCCAGAATTGTTACTACTGTGATCGTTTTGTAACTTCTAATGCGATACGGTATTCTTGATGCTGATTTCATGATTCTATGTTGACGTTGTTTCTCTCTCTCTTGACGACTTGCTTCTGCTTTTGCTTTCCATTCTTGTTCTTTACATTTTCGTTTTCGATCATATTCTCTAACATCATTACTTATAGATTCAGGAGGATATTGATGGTATAAGTGTTTTGCTTCGATTAGAAGTGTTTCAAAAGGTAAATCGTCCGGCAACTATAAATAAAAATAATCCTTATCTAAACTAAACAAGATTAAATACGATTTTATTTCATTTGTATTATGAACATTATATATTACTCACAGTACATAAAACTTTATGCGTATGACCCATATCTGGTGTAGTATTAAAAATTTCTCTTGCTCTATATGCTACAATCACAGTACTTAAATAAAGAGGCATCAATGGGGGACTACCAAGAAAGTAATCAAATAATCTATGTAACAGTTTTCTATTTTCCGCATATTTGTGCGCATACCATGTTGTGTATTCAGCCAATGCAAAATGCGGAAATAATTGTACACTATAGTACAAAATAAATTCAATATGTGATTCATGTAGAAATATGATGTAAAATATATTTATTTATATACAAACTTTTCCAAGTGTTCTAATAAAGTGGGATGCACTCTCTCCAAAAGTGCAAATATATAAAATAATTCTTGATTCACTTTTTCCATTGTTTTCTCCATAAATCTTTCAAGGAATTCTAAAGAAATACTTTCAAGTATGCACAAACCTTTTTCTAAACCCATAACAAGAAGGACAGTGGCTGCTATATCGTTATATCCCTGGTAATAACTAAGTACGTATTATTTTATTTTGTATTATCAATATACATGTGTCTACAGCAAATGTTTCCACAATTATAATGAAATAAATATGTTGCATGGTATAGTAAATGTATACATAATACTAACTTCAATATAGAATGTTTATGAAGAACCCAACATATTAATTGTGTCAATTGTTCATGAAAATGATCTACCTCATGCTGCATAGCATTTTGTGAGATATGACTACCACTGCGTGCAACATCCTTTAATATTTGTTGATAGACCTCATTTGGTATATGAGTATATATAGTTTTTAGTTCAGTTACAGAAAAATTATCTTCCTCTGACAGTCGCAGTAATTTTGGCCATACAATCCTTCGTATATCATCTATAGATCATTTTTATAACTTCAAGATTTAATTACGAGGTATAAAATTATTTTCAATAAGGAACCTATAATTTTGATTCACTATTTTAACTATGTTGCTACAACATAATGATCATAATAAATCATAATAAAAATTATATAAAGATAAATTACATTATGTTATCCACATAGAGGTTCCTTGTTGATAATAATATACGATCATACTGATGAAATACCATTAACTAAACCCTCACTGCTGCAACCCAATAATTTAAGTTCTCCAAATGTCAAATTTGGATTGTTCACGCTTTCTCGAATAACACTTATCTTCATCCGTTCTCTATTCGTCAATGTCTCTGTATCACCAAAATTATATTCTAATAAATTGTTATCATTTTCAAAATTCAACACACCGTTTTGTTTACCTGACAAACTAAAATCTACGATGTCAGGTATTCGTGGTATAACATTATTATACCATGCCTTTGTAGAATCAGACATTTTTACGAGAGGTATGTCACTTTTAGAATCTAAAGCTTCCTCTTCTTTTGATATAAAGTTCGCCGTTTCAGTTACATTCCTTCGTCTAACTTTTAGGTTATGCTTTTCAGTAGAAATCGACATTTCCGTAAATGTTTCTGGGACACTAGAATCCAAAGATATTTTGTCCTCTTCCAGTTCCATGTTACTTGACATAACAAATTCATACCAAAAATTTCTCGAAACGATTCATTATACAAAAAATTTTAACTCCCAGAACTTCTGACAGAACAATGACAATCTGTCAAGAATGACACGCATTGATCACCGTCACTCACTCGTAAGAGAAGTTCCTTATCAATTAAAATTAAGCGACCGTTGACGTGGCTCATCATTTCCCTTGCTTTCGTATTACCACAGAAAAGGTATAAAATAGATATGTTACAGAATTTGGAACCTCAAAAAGCCCCTTATCATTTTAATATCATTTCTAACGTTACCGATTCAGTACAAAATAAGATTACAGCTACACACAAAATACAGACCTTATCTGTGACTACAGACATTAGAACAGACTTAACATCACAGTACAGCATATAAAACTCTATACTGCATTTGCAATTATGAGCGATTTCATAGTTACTTTTCATTTTAATTTTTACTAATAATGTAATTTTACTGTATGCTTTTATTCTATGCTAAATTGTTAATATTAGAAATGACATAAGAATAATAATGAAAACGTCGTAGTCTATAAATACAAAATGTATGATGTAAATTTAGGTTGAACGATAAGTCTATATTACATCTCGTTTATGGTATAATATAAGATTCATTCTCGTCACTCCAGCTCTGTAAAATAGTGTTCGTAGAAGTGCTGGAGAGGAATTTGTATTGTGAAATTAACAAATTCGTGTGAACGGCGATTAGTAAAATCAGAATAATGTCCAATTTTCTATACAATCTAATTTTTAAAAAATCCTCTACATTCACAGTAGTAATTTTAACAGGCGCTTTCTTCTTCGAACGAGCACTTGATATGGCGTCGGATAAAATATTCTATGCAGTTAACAAAGGAGTATGTACAGATATATATGTAAAAAATATCATGCAGTTTAAAATTATACATTGATTCTTTTTATGACAATATTATAGATTCAGCTAGTTTGATCTACTTCGTTTCCCAAATTTTTTTTATTTTTCGTTTTTGTTCACGAATTTAATAATTTATTATATGCAGATTTTACATAAAAAGAAGTATAATATTAAATATAAATTACTGTTCCTTTTCTATAAATTATATGATGTGTTAATAGCCTTGTGGAAGGTATTGCATAATAGAATAGAGTTTTTAAATAATAGGAGAAAGATAAGTCTTATAAAAATAACATTATTTATTTTTTTTGTTTCAGAGATTGTGGAAAGATATTGAACCTCAGTATTTGCAGAAGTGAAAAGTATTTATTGTATTAGATATGTATGTATCTATATACATATATATGTATGTATATATTGTGTAGGTATACTTTTATAAATGTATAAATAAAGAACAATCTATAAAATATGAATTTATATGTCAATTTTAAGTATCTAAATATTTGTTTTATTTGTTTATTATTAATACAAAAATTTTTTGTTATCAATAATTTCCGTGTACAATAAGTTTACTGTTATTACTGTGTATAAAAATGAAAGATATAGTTTCAATTTTGCGATCTGACATAACCAATTTTTAAGTAGTTGGTTCAATGAAGCGACCAAAATATAAAGTCATGTTTAAAATGGAATCAATGATCATAAAAAGAAATGGTCTATCCATTTTCATATTGTTATTCTGTGATACAAGGGGTGTATATCCAATTTCTGTAACAATATTGTTTACATTGAGAATATAGAATTGATAATTAGTCTTGCAAATTATTTATAGACAGTAAAACTGTTTATTAAATACCTGTGTCTGCTGCAGCTAATGTTCCTTCCTCATCTATTTCTATTTTTACATTTTGGATGATATTAGTTATATGTACTGAACCATTAGATATCATTTTAGTCAAATTTGTATTAAGTTCAAATATATTCTCGATACCTAACTAAAATAATTTTTATTTTAACTATAATATTTATTATTAAATATATATCCTTTGTAATTTAAAATAAATTTTTGCATAATAATACATACATGTTGTAGTATGGGTACTAAATTAAGTTTTTTCTCAATATTAAATTTCGGAAGATGAATAGTAACATCTCGTTCTTCTAAACTTGCTAAAATTGCAGATACTGGAACGGTAATTAAGTCTTCGGATAATATTCGAAGGTATGGATCTTTTTCTTTGGATCTTGGCATGAATGTTAACATTGACGTTTTACCATCCTAGAAAAGATAACAATGCACTACATTTTTTTTTTTTAACTGAGCGTTTATACATTTGTGGCATTTAACTTACCGAATATGGTATTTCTAAAACATGGGCATCAATAGACGATATATAAGCATATCGATAAATTGATTCATGTTTCATGAAATGCATATTTCGACATTTCCCACTGGGAATATAAAAACACTGTAGTTTCGTATTCGCTTTATCAAATGATTTCAACCAGTGTCCTTTGAAATAAATAACCGAAGTCAAAATGAGACGTGTATCAGGTGGAAAGTCATTTAGCAATGAAGTCGGGGAGATTACATTGCGTGTTACCCGATGAAGCCATTTGTTGATATGATGCGCTGTACTTTGCGATTCTACAAAATTTACACTTTCTATGTCTCCTTGATAAAGTGATCGTAGAATATTTTTATAATTGTCTAGCACATGTAAATTTTCGTGTACCCATAATCGTGTTGCTAAATCAACTTCTGTACCGTTTTCATTTCTCTAAAATTAAAATAATCTTGTATATTCATAAAAATCTGTCATATTCATATATAGTTTTATGGGCCTTGATACCATACTTTTAAAGATGTGAAAATACGTTGTATAAGCTCCTTTCTTCGGGACTCATTTTCCGGTAATCTTAATACTGAAGCGATTTCCGATTTCGCATCGCCATTCGTTCCTTCCATTAACATATTTAAAATTATCGTAACACTCGCAGGCGACGATATTAGATTTCCAATTTTATATTCTTTACTCAAAGTCTGTGTTAAAAATAAAATTACATTATGTTTATTTCAAATTAATGTGATGTATATTTGATATTTTGTCTTACTTGTGAAAAGTATACGTTGAAAAGATTGTTTCGATTTTCAGCATTCAAGCCTGCTTGGAAGATCGTATCTAAAAATACTTTTACGTTAATATCGTATACAACTATTCAATCTACTGTACAAATAGAAAGATAGAAGATTGTTGGCACTGGCATAAAACATCGAGAAATGGTAAGATGATATCAAGAAACAGGAGAAGATTAAGCATAACCTTTAAACATACTTAAGAAAAGAAGATCCGAGTAACAAGCATGTAACAGTCGCATTTTAGATATGTATATAGAATATACAGTATACAGTACATATAAAGAAAGAGAAAGATGTTATATTTCATTAAGCATCTTTAGTAAAAAGCCGTTTACGTTTGTGTAATATTTTAAAAAGATATTTCCATGCTACATTGTTTGCAAATAGACAGAAAAAGATTACTCTACAGAATGATAATGAAATCCCATTGCGTTTACCTGTTATATTATGTTAATTAAAATAAAGCAATTATTTTTCAATTTCATTGCTACGAAGATCGAATAGAAAAGATTAACCTGCTTCTGGTACTCCTTGATTAACGTTAGACGATAAATGTTGACTTAAGTTAATATTAACATTACTATCAGTTGTATCAAGAGGATTCATCATCTTGCCAATATAGGTAATCGTTCCTGTGGATTCATCTTCGATGTAAAATAAGAACGGACGATTAGCATGAAACGTTTCATCTCCGATTTTATTCCCAATGTCGATTTCTAAAAAATACAATGCAAGAAAGGGATAATATTGCATATATTTATATCTATAAATAAATTATAGATAGAGGATAGCAAAGGGAGAAAATTTACCAGTGGCCACATAAGCTGTAGTACCATTTTCGTTCACTTCGATTCCAGCTTTTTGCAAAACATCGGAAACTTTAAGGTGTTTCGAAGTTCGTTTAGATCGAGCTATACCTGTTAATGTTGCGGTGTCATCAAATATGTCGCGAATACCAAGCTGATTAAAACAAAAAAAATATAGCAGTAATGGAGTCAAATAAATGCAAATAAATATAATAAAAAGAAATAGATAAAGGAAACGAACAAAAGATAGTTACCTCACGCAAAATGGGTTCCAAATGGCTGGAAAATTCAAATTTAAACTTAGGGATGGAGACATCAATGGGTAAATCTTGCATCACCCATATATGTCGTATTAACATGAAAGGATTAACTTTGTTGATAACATGTTCGACTCCGTTCAATGTACGTGGTAACAGCAAGTACAATGCGAACTTGTGTCCCTAAAATAAACTAAAATAAGAAAGAGAATGAAACAAAGAATGAGGAGAGAGAGAAAATAGAGAAGAAAAAGAGAGAAAGAAAGTACGTTTCGCGTACGTCATACGGAATTCGTAGAATTTTGGCATTTAATTCTGAGGATTCGGAGTAATAAAATCGACCAAATACATGCATAAAAGGTACGTCTATAGTTTGATTATCAATTGTATAAAATTTCCCAATCTGAGTATCTTTGGGAGAAAAATATTTGCGGCGCCATAATCCTTTGAAGAAAAGGGTGTTCATGATTAACATCAAGGAATCCTTGACATTGGTATCTAAAAGGAAAAAAAAGCACTTATTTTACAAAAGCAATTAATGATTTAATTCTTATTTAACTCTTACCATCTTCTATCATTTGATCGATATTACCATCGGTAATATTGCTGACCCAATTATTAATATCTTGAACAAGTAACTGTGTGTTAGATAAATTCGCGGTAATCACATCGGTGCTGTAAAATGTTTTTATGATGGCTTCGTATCGTTGTCTGACCAAGATGTTGGAGTCTATATAAATTCGTGTACCGATGTTCAAAGTATACGCTGGCGAATTGTCCTATGAAAGCCACAAAGGAAATAATTTTTATGCATATATTTTCGTTTTTTTCTTTTTTTTTTCGATTTTAATTTTGAGGAAATCAATAATTTAAAAAATTTACTTGAAATGATCGTAAAATACTGGAAAATCTGTCTCGTGTAGCCGTTCGAGTAGCAGGTAATTGCATTGCTCCAGCAAGTTCATGTGCAGTTTCATCCTGAGCTCCTTCATATAGCAGTATCAACGCGATTTTTAAGGAGATTGGTGAGAGCAATACGTTGCCAGAATATTTTTTGCTTACGGCCTATCCATAGTACGAATAAAAAACTTTTAGATAAAAGCACAGGTATATAATTGCATATAATTAAAAGCGTATGTTTATTACTTTGAACAATAACCAGTCAAATGTGCTGAAACGTTCCCCTTGATAAGGTACAAAGTCATCGTCTTCATCGGGATTATTAATTTCAGTCTCGTTCACAGACAGGGAATTCGTTCCCTCTGATATAGTTTGTTCTATCATAAGAGTTGCAACGTATGCAATCACTAAGTAACCTGAAATTGAATAAAATCATCATGAACAATGATCATGAATTACAAATGTAACTATTAATCACGATCGAATTGGAGAAAAGCCTTGAACCAACGGTTGTAAAAATGTCAAGGTTAAGTGCATTGCCATTGATCAATATTCTCTGGTATATTGTACAGAAGAACTCGTATATTTCTTAAAATTATACGGTCACTTTTAAATCCAGTATTCATATTTTATAAGAATAAATACTTACTTAGTATTCCATTAACGTATTTCATAATTGTGCGTGTTCAGTTTACTGTAGAAGGAAGGCGTTTGATTTATACGAAATGCGATTTATTCGCAAATTAGTAGATAGCGGTTCGACGCAACGCGCTGAGCTCATCTAGCAGCATCCAATAGATATTCACAAAACTGAAAACCGGTCGGTCAACTTGTCTGTCCGTTTGTCTGTTCGTCCTTCGTACGGTCAGCCTGCTAGCCGCTCGACCAAAAATGAGCATGGTTCTTTTACATAGAAACTATAGAGTTCTGTTTCTTACCCTCGCCCTTACAAATAAAATAAATCAAATGAGCCAAATGGCCGTGTCTCACGGTCCAAATCACTTTTAATTTATGTATAGACACAAATATTGCATTGATTGATGTCTTATAGGAATCAATTTGAATAAATACAGTTAAAATGGTTCCATTACATTTTTATTTGACGAAGTAATAAACGATTGCACTTTACTCTATTTAACCAATGATCCGAATGTAATACATTTTTAAATCTTAATTACGTTCTTCTAAAGTGCTTGAACTTTTTATCCGCTGCTCAATTTCTTTCCGTTCTATATTTTCATGTTTTTCGTTCAAGATTGTTGCATATTTATCGAGAGCTTTCGAAACCAAAAGGGTAGCCGCGTTCACGGCTTCCGTAGTTACATAGGTGTGAGCCAATTCCGCTACCTGTTCTTTTACCTGTAAGTCAAAATTTAACTGAAAATCTGTGCCTTTCAGTTTAAACAGTAAATAGTAACAACCCTTTACCTGACTCTTCATAAGACCATAGCTATGGAAAGCTATTGTACAAATTGGCGTAAATATACAGACTACAGTCATAAAAGCGCCGCCTAGGAGAAGTATAAAAAAAGTCTGTAAAAGATAAGTTCCGGCTTGAATTCCATACATTAATATTTCACTAGATGGTAGCAGGCTCATCGCGATTTCAGTAGTCGAAAAAGAATCTGTATTTTTTGGCGATAGGGTCGTGGGTATATAATAACCCTCGTATTCAGTATGAACCTTATATCCGTTATTATCATAATCCCAATAAATTGGATAAAAATATCGGTTAACCGCTGCTTGATTTCCTCGCGTTAACGTCGCATAAGAAGCTTGTTGCCGATCATCAATTCGAGACGTTGCAAACGTGTATTGACTTGAGTCTTCCCGTTGATGTACCTGTTCGTTGCCAATATCTTCACCTCTAATAGGTATTACTATAGCACTACACCAACCGATCATCAAACAGATCATCAAATGATGATACATTATTGTTAATACTTGATTTTCTTGTACGTTCTTTTCTCCTTTACGATTATCGAATGACGATAATTTAATGGATACCTTTTACAGCGTGGCAAGATTATTTTCGTGACACTTTCGATGACTGAGGAAAATATTCGTAGCCCAAGCTTTATATACCTTAAAGGTCCGAAAAGGGGAGAAGATTGCAAATTGTCAATAGAGAAAGTTATTTCTTTCAAAATTTATTACCCCTAACGGTTTATTCCTGGGCAAACCTAGTTGGAAACTTCACCTTTGAAAATGATATTTTCATGTATACCTGAGACTGTGAAATGTATTACATTTATTGTTCTCATTTCCGGTTATTACCACTCTCGACCCTGTGAAAAGTCGCGATAATAATATATATCATTCATAAATACTTGCTTCATCAACTAGGAAAATTATACAAAATCCGAGTTATATTTGTTCTTTTAATATGAATAAATAATAAATTCCATACTTTCCATGCGTTACATCATGTTGAAAAAAAAAGTGATAAGATTTTAAAATTGTTTCAATCCACTTTGTTATGATCGAGTTACTAACGACGAATCATCTTTTATCTCTTTGCGCAATTTTTCAGTCTCATCTTCGCTGCTGCTGTTAAAATAATTTATTATATTTTTCCGTTTAGTTCTTTGTAAACGACAATCCGATTCTTTTTCGCGTATGCGTTTACGTTTGCGTTTTCGTTTTTCAAGTTTTAGCTCTGCTTTTTCTAGTTCAGATAACTCTTCATCTTCAGTAATTTCTTGATTGATACTTTCAGCTGCTGCTATGCAAAATGAATCCTGAAATGCAACGTACAAATAACAATGTTAAAATTTAAGTGTTTGATATTCGCCTATTTATTTTACTTACGTTTATATAGGATTCATCTATTTGAGTTACAGGTTGAGAATATATTTCTATACGGGAATCAAATGTATGCTGTCTTTTAAAAAGAATATCATCCTGTTTTTTCATCGGGCTCTTAATGGATTGTAAATAATAAGCATGCATGTGGGATGCATCGTGTATATTTTGCGTATAACTGACAAAACCTTCAAGATCATTGTCGGTCTCAGAATTCTCATCCGTGCTATCGTTATTTGAAGAAACTTCTGCCTCGTCACATATAAATTCGTTTTTCACTTTTTTCAACTTTCGATCATAATTATGTTTCCGAAAGTACTTTGTTCTTTTCTCCAAACTTTCATATTTCTTTTTATTATTTGATTTATCGAAAAAGTAGGCACATTTTTCTTCTTTTGCATTTGTAAGTTGATTATCGATCATGGAATTATTTTTATTTGTGGAATACTTTTCGAAAGAATCATGTTTCGAGTTCCAATATTTTTTTACATTTGCTAATTTTTTTGCTATACTCGTATGAGATGTATTCTGCTTTGAAATATCTTTAACGGAAATCCATTCTTCATTATCTGAAAAATGTGTTTTCATATTGGTTGTAGTTCCTACTAATTTCTGACTCTTGCGCTCTTCTTCAAATGTGTTAAATTTCATACAATCTTGCACGGTATCAATCGAAACTTGAAAATCATCGTCCCATTCGCATTCTTCTATTTTTAATTCTGTATCAATCTCATTTTTCTTATCGTTTGAATTCTTCATTACATTAAAATTCTTTTCATCTGTATAATTAGTTGAATTACCTATTTCTTGATCAAATTTTAATTGATTATCAATCTGTAGCAAAAAATTTTCATCTTTAAATATATCATCTTCGGATTCATCGTGCGCCTTCGTAGCGATTGAATTTGAATTTAGTCGGGCTATTTCATCAATTGCTTGCGTTATACTAAGGATATGTTCGGCTTTAGATTTATTAAATTTCGACGGGTAAGTACTTTTACATATTTCTTTATAGTTTTCAACGTTATGTTTACATTGCTGATTCGGAATAAAAAAAAATTTATTCATTTCAATCGTTTGTTGCAAATGTGCACCAGATTCTGATTTACTATGATCATCTAATCTTACAATATTGGGGGAATTTTTGATTTGTATATTGTTATCGATATTAATATTTTTTGTCCAGCTTTGCTCAAAATTTTCATTATTACTAATTTCAGAATCATCAGACGTTTCATTTAATATATCTTCAAATTTACCAGGTTTCAAACTTTGTGTCATGTTAATTTTATTTCTTGTTTCGACTGATTTTAATACTTCGTTTTCTGTGTCATGATGAAAAGCACGAACAGGACAAGCAGTGTTGATGTCGAACTTCTTTTCTTCAATATCCGATAGGTCACTTACATTCGATTTACTACTATCGTCTAGTAAATCTTCGAATTTAGAAGACGATTGTTGATACGTGTCAATGATTTCTTCCATTGTGTTCTCAAATACATATTCATTATTATACAAATCGTCCTTGTTGTCATTTTCATTATCATTATTTACCTTATTGTTATTTAAATTAAGTGGAATGATATTCAATGTGATTAGACAATCAAGAATTTTAGTGTCAGGTATTGAAAAATTAAAAACATTTTTAATCGAAGGAAACCTAGGTATATAAGATTTATCAATTTTATACTTGTTCAATGTATTTTCTTCTTTTGCAGAAATTTTTAAAGCGCATGTCGTAAGAAAATCAACGGCATCATTGTCGCAAGAAAGAATTTTCACATCTGATAATTTTATAGTATTACAAATGCCATTATTCTGAATTACTTCGGAATTAACTACTTCAAAATTAGTCATTGTGTCTTGTTTATTTTGATCAACTTTGAAATATTTCACTATTGAGAATTTAGTTCCATCCTTTTGGGATTTGAAAGCAGAATCTAAAACACAATATAATTTATTCCTTTATGACAGAAATTTATAAAGAGCATTGTAGTTGTAATGATAGTTTTATAAGTATGTCACCTATATTACTGATTTTTTTTAAAATATTATGAAACCCTTTTTCCTTTTTATTTGATTTTCCTTTGTCATTTTTATATTTTTCAACCGGATCTTTTTCTTGTACGCTAATATGCATTTTTAGACATTCCGGTGTGAAAATATCAGGAATCATACGAGGATTATCTTTGTAAAGCGAAGAAAAAATGTTACTCGTATTTAATATCTTATAATTTAAAGAATCTCTTCTAGCCATTGTAGATTTTAATGTCTATAATATGGAAATATTATCATGTAATATGTAAAATATTGCCCAACTTTTGAACAGTTCAAAATTGTATTTCTTATTACCTCATGTTCTCTTCCATCTGTAACAAGAATAATTATGTGCCCATCACGTTTTCGGCCCGTTCTTCCCATTCTTTGAACTAACCGTATAGGTGAATGTTGAGATACATCGAAACATATTATTAAATCTACTTCTCCAACATCTAATCCTTCTTCTCCTGTTAGATATCAAAATATTAAGTATAAAAATTGTATAAAATTGTATTTTAATTAATGATATGTTACCACTTCTTACATTAATATTGCATAAATTACCTTACATACCTATACTTGTAGATACAAGAACATTAACATCATTATTTCTAAACTTCTCTAATGCTTTTATTTGTTGCTTTTGTTTCTGTCCAGTTTTACCAACAAACATTTGTGGTCTAATTAACGGTTGACATTGTAATAATAAAATATAAATTTCACTTACAATATCACGATACTGCACAAAAAGAAACTTATATTGCAATATTGTATATGAAGTTCTATTGCAGTACAGAACGTAAAAATTGCAAACCTCAACAAAGACTATAGCTCGTGTATCGCTTTGTTTTTCTTGACTATTTTTAAAATGATACAAAAGTAATTCTTTTAACTTATCAAATTTCGTATGTCCAAATATAAGATCTTGCGATATCTAAAATTAATTTGTACATCATACACAAGAAAATATTCGATTTTATACATTTTATGTATATTTATACAAACTTCTACTAGTTCTTCTTCACATGAAGTTTTTATATCTGGAAATGGACCAAGATACAATTTAATATCTTCAAGTAATGTTTGTAATTGTGGTTCTTCGTTCATCCAAAATTTATCAGAATGATCTACAATAAGAATGAAGAGATCATTTGAATGCAAATTTTGATTGAAATAAAAGAAACATAAGAATTCGTTACTTTGATAGAATTTAAGAAATGCTCTAAGCCCATCTCTAATCATAAGTTCATAAGCATGATACATTGTCATTAATATGTTTAATGTTCTTATAATTTGTCCATAATTTCCTGACTTATTTGTCTTCTTTTGATATTCCTTTAATAAATGGAACACCTAAATAATAAAGGAAATCATTTTTGTTTTTTGTTATAATTATAAATAAAAAAAATACAATATCTATCAATATAATTTACCCGTCCTTTTGAGATATTTGCCGTATGACCAGAAAGAACATGATATTGAAGTAAAATTTTAACATGACGATCCATGATGAAGATATATCTCTCTTTGTATTCGGTTAGTTTGTTATTAAGTGGTACTAAAATTATATCAATTTTTCTATTATTAATATGTGGTACGATATCCAAGGAAGTTTCATCCCTTAATTCAACATGAGCAATTAATAAATTTTGTAGCACCTATAGGAAATATTATATAGTTATACTTTTAAAATATAATATACCTATAAAAACCATTAATAATTTTTATATGAATTTCATATTAATAAAATATACCTCATGAACATTGTCAATTTTGTTTCCTGGTGTAGCAGAAAGGGCTAGCACTCTGAATGTTTGATTCTTTTCATTTAATATTCGAATACACTAAAAATACAAAACAGATCATTATTCATTAATAAATATTGTACTTAAAAATTTATCTTTTATCTAAATTTATCTAGAATAGCTACCTCACAATAAGAATGTTTCCCTAATGCTTTATGTGCTTCATCTATAACTACACATTTTACCAAATCACTGGGTACAACATTTTTAACTAAATCATTATAAAATACTTGGGGAGTAGCAAATATTACTCTTTTTTTGGACCATGCTATTTCACGTTGTTTGTGGCTAACTGCTCCTATAACATAACATTTTAGTAATAAAATAAATGTAAGAAATATACTATAACATTTTAAACTTTTTAAATTAGTATTACTTTACCTGTAAGTTCAATACTTTCAGAACTAGGTATACCCATTGTATTATGACAAGCAAAAATTTGCTGAGCAACCAATGGTTTGGTTGGCGCTAAAAATATAACTTTTCCACATGGATACCATCTCCAAAAATTGTACATTAGAACTGCAGCAATAAATGTTTTACCGAGTCCTAATAAGAATTAAATAAGATATTATTAGTAATTTTTGTAAATTTGTTCACTTTCTCTTCTTGTTAAATTGTAACATTAATAAATTTCATAATATTAAAAGAAACAATTTTATTTACCAGTGGGTAAACAAACTAATGTGTTATTGTATAAACAAGCTTGAACTATATTGAACTGATAATCTCTAATAGGATAATTTTCTGGATAAATCCATGTTTTGCCAGTTGATAAATCAAATCCTTTTGTTTTTTCATTGCTTGATATTTGAGAATTCTGAGATAATTCCATTTGAAAAATTCTTTTCCCAATTGATTTTAAGTTACAGAAAATTAATATATTTCACCAATCTTAAAAGATAACAATATATTTACAAATAGCTTTTTCGCATACAATCAGATGTTTCTAGTATAGATTATAATAATCAACCTGTGTAAAAATCTTACATGAAAACATATTGCGAAAAAGGAAAATTAAATATATAGATATAAGCCAGTAACCATAATGCACTTTATTCAATCTTAAACGTTATCCAGTTTCCTTCTTAAGTAAACTTAAAAAGAAGACAATATTATGCTAGGGAATTTTTTTAACGGTATAAGTAGGGTCATTTCTTATCACCAAAAATATGTTACAAGGAACGACATTCTTCGATTCGTACGCGCATAAAAATTTATGGAATTGAAAAGAAAAAATTTTTAAATTATTTTCACGTTGTATTTACTATAATTATCAGTATATTAATAAACATAATCATAAAAAGCACCAAATTGATGAGAAAATGTAATAATTAATGCAATTTTTTAAACACTTGCTTTTATATTGCAAAAGGTATAAATTTAAAAGAAATTTTCTTGTTCGTATATAGGTATCAAAAGAGAAACTATAAAAAATTAATTAGAAATTAATTTATTATACGTAAAGATATACAGAAAAGAATATGATCATTTGGATCAGTGAGCATATAAAACAGATGTAGACAGACATAATCATCTTTACGCAGCTATAGACGAACAGTGCTTAATAAAAAGAAACTAAAAGCCGAAATATAATAGACTAGATCCCCCGATTAGGATGTATGATTTGTCGACAAATGACTATTTAATGCAGCTTTATGTGCAAACTTTTTTAAACAAATTAGGCATTCGTGAGTTTTTTCGTTTATGTGCACGGATAAATGTTTTTTTAGTGTCGCTTTATCCTTAAATATTTTCTGACATGCACTACACTCGTATGGTCGTTCTCCCGCGTGTACCAATATATGACTATTTAACGTCGTTTTTTGAGTAAATGCTTTATGACATACATAGCATTCATATGGTCTATCACCAGTGTGACTCAACATGTGTTTCCGCAACGAGGACTTCTCTTTAAACGTTTTTTGACAAATGTGACAAGCATGTCTTTTGTCACCAGTGTGTATAAGCATGTGAGAATTTAATCTAGTTTTTTCTCTAAATGCCATATCACATAACTCACAAGCAAATGGCTTTTCACCTGTATGTATCAAAGTATGCCGATTCAAATCCGATTTACGAGTAAATATTTTATCGCAAACTTTACAATCATATTGACCCCCAGTATGTAATAGCATATGGCTATTAAGATCTGATTTACGTGCACATGCCTTATGACATATATGACACTCGTGTGGTTTTTCACCTGTGTGCACAAGCATATGAGAGTTTAATTTTGCCTTCTCTCGAAAAGTCATTAGACATTCTTTACACTCATATGGTCTTTCACCTGTGTGAACCATTGTATGCCTTATTAATTCTGACTTTCGTTTATACGTTTTTTCACAAATATTACACGCGTGCGGCTTCTCACCGCTATGCGCTAACATATGGTTGTTTAATGCTGTTTTCTGTGTAAACGATCTGTGACACATTGTACATTTGAACTGTTTATTTCCACCATGTAATGTCATATGCATATTTAATTTTGCTTTTTCCCTAAATGCTGCAAAACATACATCGCACTTATATGGTCTTTCCTCTGTATGAGTAAGCACATGCCGATTTAGACTAGATTTCTCTTTAAACGTTGCATGACAAACATCACATTCAAATACTCTTTCCTCTGTGCTCATTGATTGGTCATGCTCAGAATCTGGTCTCTTTATAAATGCTTGTTGTAATGCATCATTGTCATATGGTTTTTCTAATACATGCATTTGCATATGACTACGTAAACACCATTTATAAGCAAATCGCTTTTGACAGACATTGCACTCCAATGGACTCATCCCAACATGAGTTAACATATGAGCATGTAAACTGGAATTATCCTGGAAATTTTGTTGACAAACCTCGCACTGATTTCCACTACAGTGCATTCTTAGATGAGTCACCATAGAATCATTGTTCAAAAACCATTTTTTGCAAATGGAACATTGTATTTTATAAAACTTTGGTTGCTGTCCGTTTGGACAAAACCCAGAATGTTTTTCTGCATCATGCACTTGAGCAAAGTTTGCATTTGTTAAGCACCTTTGCATAGCACCATCTTCTTTGTCACATAGATTTGTGTTTGCAATTTGTGTTGTCCAATTTTGATGACTACTGGATTCCCCATCCAATTCGAGTTTTACCTAGAATTGTTTTGTTGGATCGATTGACTCTTCTACAAACAAAACTCAATCGCTGACAATTTTGTATGAAATTTACCATTTCATTAGAGAAGTCAACTTCGTTATTTTCGATAGGTAAAAATACCTTCTCGAATGTCCCAGAGCAGATGTCCTCCATGTAGTCTGGATCAAATCTATCGCCGGGTTCTTCCTTAAGTACAACGCTTACAATGTTTTCGTCCTTAAAGTAAGGTTTAAGTTAGAGTCCTTGTGGAAGCATTGTATTGTATGGTGCTGCTGTTTCATAGAAAACGTTTACCATAACCTGACTGTCTATGTTTAACGCATCCATCGGTTCATCTTTCACTTTAAAATCTTCCATTTGCTATGATTTATTCTGAAAGTGAAATTAATCCATTTATTCAAACGTATCATATTCCATATACAAGTATCCTGATTATAATATAAGAGACGCAAATCATGTTTTACCAGATTGAATGTAGCCAATACTGTATAGAATCATGTAACCTTAAATGTACGACGAACAACTTAGTCGATCCGAAGATTTTGATGCATGAAATCATTTTATTCGTAAAATTTTTATCCATATGATAATTTAATCGTTTCTTTAATTGTTACGACCAAACTAATAAACGATGATCCTTTTATATTTATACTTACAGCGGAGATTATACATTTCACCCACGAAGCAGAACATGCAAATCAAAATCTGTTAATTTCTATTCTTCTTGTTTTTCGTCTTATCGTATGAAATTTTTTTTATTTTTAACAACTATACGCATATTCTACTATTTTCTTGAAAATATTAAATCTGATGGATCGATCGATTTAGTTCTATATCACGGAACTATACTGCGCGTTCCACCACATATGACAGACACACGTTACATAAATACCATGCATCTACTACACGATTATATGTATGTAAGTACATACGTAAATTCGTTGCTTGACCATATCATTATCTACCAAGTTTTACACGGAACTGCAAGTTGAATGATCGCGCTCGATAACAATATATTACAGAATGCATCTTTTTCGATATCTTCTATCTATTTATTTATAATGTATCTTTCAAAATTAAAAGCTATATAGAGTTAACTTCAGCGCACGAATTTTGAATTATTCATTAAAATACATTTATTTCAAATTATATATTTCAAGTTATTTTTTGCAAATATTTTATATGATTTAAACAATATTGTTCCATTAATTACATATTTTAACATATTCTTCTCTTTTCCAATTTATCATGCAATCCTTTTTAAGGTTAATCCAAAAAGAATTCTGTAAATGAATACATAGGTATAGAGTTACATAGACGGGTACTCTATAACAATTTCTTGAAAATAAAAACGTTTTCTTTTTTTACTTTCTGTTGATATTTCTATTGATCTGGGGAAATAATCGAAGGAACCTCTTTAGTTCGTTATATTCTAATTTATATCAAATTGTATTATTATTGCGTTTGTATTGTGAGTTTCATAATAAACTCGAGTTTTTATTATTTATATCGTGTCTTTCTCATCCATATAATAAAGGTAAATAGGAGAAATAATTTATTTAAAATTTATAACGTTATTTTATTTGATTTATTTCTACCATAAATAATACTTCCTATAACTAAAAACTCACGGCATTTTACATACATTTATTTTTTTCTCAATTAATCGTATTTTATTTTATACAATGGACTTTGTTCAAGCATCTTCCGTGATGTGTGTACGGGAAGGAAATTGCGGTATTTTATTTCATCATTGTCAGTAAGAAGGATATATAACTGAGTGATATTTTCAATATCTGAAATGGTGGTAGGTAAGAAGTAAAGCAAATAGAAGAAAGAAAAATGGGGCAAGAAAGAATGGATAAAGAATGTATTTTACGTTACAGAATGCTAACATCGTTACGGGAAATAATTTTCCCGCGGTCAAATAGAGCGGTCTTTTTGATATTGCCATGATTATAATCAAGCATTTCGCTTTCTTGGATTTCAGGTTTACCCACTCGCAATCATATGCAGCATCGTGCACTCTTTCAGCCTACATGTGTTGCAAAGAAATTTAAAGTGAACACAAATAAGCGATGCAAGAAATCAAGAAAGTCAAGAAAAATGGAATAGAAATTTACACTTACTCGACTTACTAACATTTGTCCAGCCATAAAATAGCAAGCCGTGTGAAGAACTGTGTTCAGAAAGTTACACGTTAAATAAGTTATTCGAAACACGGAAAAATGCTCAATTTTAAGAGGTATTTATATTAAAGTAGCATTTAAAGATCATAATTATCAGCTTTGCTATTTGTTTCGCAAATTTTGTCAATTCCATTAATATATCTGTGATAATAAACATTATTCTACTTACAGTGATTAGTAATAATCCATAGATACAGGTACACATACCAAAATTAAGCGACATCGCGAAAAATAATAGTGTTGATGTATTTTCGATCACATCAATCGCTCTGTAATTAGATCGTTATGAAAATTAGAACAATTTTCTATCATGCATACTTAATAGCGTATATTGATTTATTCATAGAGGAATTTCAGGGGAAGAAGAAATAGGGGGCAATGGCACGGACCAATGTAAAAATGTTAAACAAAAACATACCTGATAAGCCGTATGTGATCTTCTACAGTGGTCGCTAAAATGCGATTAAAAGTTTCAAATTTCTTCATATTTGCGAGATGAGATCGAAGATTTTCCAATTGTCCACAGATATGAAGGACTAATATTGCAAAAAAATTATCAACCCCAGTATAACAAAATGACGCTATTAATAAACTGGTAGACTGAACAGTGTACATTATCTCAAAATATGGAGTTTCAGACATATCATAAATGTAATAAGTTGGCAGCGGGAACAGTTTTCTTGCGTCAGTTCCGTTTCTTACGTATCGAATAGTGATTCCGAATCTCGGTAAAATCATCAGCAACCATATTAAGACAAACACTATGATATTACTGAATATGTTGAGTTTTCTTGCAATTTTTGCTTGTCGTATCATCACGTCTCTTTCAAACTCTGTTTTCAATTTTGCCCAATCTTCTGCGATCATGTTTACGATCGGCAAGAGAACTAGAAAGAAAGAAGCGATAGGTAATTCGCGCTCCACTATAAGCGTGGTACATTGATTCTCTCTGTTTTCCCTTCACCAGGGAAAAGGCAGGCAAGCTTACCTTCCTTTTTGCTAGACACGACGATAAACTTTATCATTGTTATCACCAAGGGAACAGAATATGTAAGATTGTCTGTCACCTCCATTAGAGTGTTGCATTGTTTGAACAAAGCATAAAAGCAAGGAATCATACAAACAAAGGTTATCAACATAAAATATGCTACTATTCGTAATTTCTTGAAAAATTTATCTCTTACGCCGTGTTCCTCCGTAGGTCATAGACAAATTGCATTTAAAAAAAAACGATTCAATTTTACTGCCCATTCGTAATCTATAGACGTGTTAAGAGAGCAACGAAATCGATTAAAACTAAGAATAAGAATAAAAATATTGCTTGAAAAATGCCAACTAATTATACAATAAACCTACCGAGTGACAGGAACATCCGATCGCAACGTTAAATACCCGAAATAATAACCATGCATTATAAAAGAGTTTCGAAAATGATTACTATATTATCTTCTTTCACCTCGTGAGAAGCGAAATTTGTTCGTAACATCGTTGCTCGTTAACGTATACTGTTTTGCTTCGATAAATAAGTGGAAACTACAGCGATGAAACATTTTCTCAACTAAAGTTTCAAAGCAACAAAAGGAAACAGTTTCTCCTTTCTCTTGTACATTTTTAATAATTCCGATAAGTTCGGATCAATCGATCGAGCAGATCATGTAGGGGCTCTCTTTCTGTTTTAAGCGATTCAAATTTGAGAAGAACTGAACGTTTTGTCACGATCGCAAATTATTTCTTTACTATAAGCTTGTATAACTTAAAAATCTATTTTCTTCCTTAATATTTAAACTGCGAGCACGATAAAATGTATAGACATATATACTTGATTTTATTTTCATACAAATAAGTCATTCCGTGTAATAAACAATAAAATTTTGTTTAAATTCTTATTCGATACATCATTCATTTTATTTGTATATTTATATGTGAACTCAGGTAAAAGTAGATTTGCAAGGGAGATATAAAAATAGTAGGGATGTTAAACCTAATACTTTAATCGTTTTAATAGATAATCCAATAAATTAAGGGATATATGCGTTTATCAAAATTCGAATACGCGTGTCCCCTTTATCGAAAATAAAAATTTCCTTTACAAATGTTTTACATAAATTCAAAAGTTGTCGGGTACTCGACTTGCAAAAATGACATGTTCCTTGTTTATTATATATCATAACGTGTATGTTTACTGGAATGATCGTGAATCGATGTACCCTTTCTTTTTGAATCATGATCGGCAATTGCTTTCTCCCGACACAATTTTCTGTGTATTGCGTTCTTTGTGGTAATCTCATTGCAGGTGCTACCTCACGCACATTTGAGTAAATTGTCACGAGCCAAATGCCAGGAAAGATTCGTAAGCTCTCCGCGCGGAGCGCCGGTGTGGGAACGATCTGTCGAAAGGCTAAATGCCGTATTTACCTATTTTAATTACTTAATCCATTTATGTTTCGGCACTATCTTGAGTTTTTCATTTTTTCAAAGCGGTGTAAAGTTAACGGAAAATAATTCCTAGAAGATCTAACCAACAACTTAAAGAAATCATTTTAAGGCGGTCGCATCACGTACTGGTAGGCGTTACTGTCATTTGGCTTCTCTTCGATTTTATTATTTTCTCTAAATTTTAAGCGGCAATACGAATATTATCTTTTTTCCTTTCCAAATCGGAATAAATACTAATTTTTTAATAATTTCCGAGTATTGCGTATTTGGTAATACACGATATCAATTATTCGTAAAGAATCATGTACTTACAATAATCTCAATTGACAGATTCAAATGTATTGCTTTCTATAATCTGTTCTTCGCGTGAGATACGTGACTAAATATTTCTTAGACTACACTCTATATAAACATGTAAAAATGTATAAACGTTTAAAACATTGTTCTATTTGATATTGGATTTGGCTGAAATATTGTAATATTAACATAATCAATACAGGAAGGGCAATGTTTGCCAAGAAGAAAAAGAAACCACAAATATCTACTCCAACAAATTTTGAACATCGTGTACATACAGGGTTTGATAAACGTGAGGGAAAATTCATTGGACTTCCATTACAATGGGCTTCTATCGTTGGAAACAATCAAATTTTAAAATCTACAAATAGACCGTTACCTTTGGTAGACCCAAGTGAAATTACACCCACAGAAATTTTAGACTTGAAAACTATCGTTCGAGGTCACAATGATCCAAAAGGAAGAACTTCTACCAGTGAGAAAAATACTGAAAATGGATTACCCAAGACAAGCACAGTTGCTAGATCTAATTCCCTTCGTTCTTCAAGTCCACCCAGACTTAGAAGGGATTATAGGTATTCTTTTTCTATTTTGGACAAATATATTACTCTAAAGTATCAAGTGTTATATTATATTTTTATTTTATAGGCATAATAGTAATTTGCCACCATCTGTGCCAGAAGGTCAAGAAATATCATCTGGTGCTAATCAAATACAGGGATATGCTAACTTTGGAAAGCAACAGAATTATCTTGATAAATTGAGACAGAATTCGTCCAATGTTGCAAGTGGATTACATCCTAATACACAAAATATGATTCCAAATCTTCAAAATCTTAATCCAAATATGCAGTCATCTCCTAATTTAACACACGTTAATTCGAATGCCCCAAATTTATCTTTAAATTTTCAAAATTTAAGTCCTATTACAACTCCACAGTGTCCTATTCAAAGCCCTAGCACTCCTCAACTCGTAGATACTGAGTTTCATAGGCTAAATACACAGGTGACCGCAACATCTGGTCAATACAATGGAAATGTACAGGTAAGCAATGCTTGGTTATTACGTTTTATTCATTTTTAATGATATGTACCATTATTATTTATCTGCAGGCTTCGAGTATTGAGGCATCCTCGAGGGATCAACAAATAACTCAAAATACCCTTTTGCATAAGCTACAACCTAAAATTTCACCTGTAGGATCTATCGCTTCACAGCGACCATTGAGCCAGTTGAGTACGCATAATGTTAATAAATATTCACAAGCGTATAGTACACCAGAAAATTCGTCCATTTTACAATCTCATATTAAGAAACCTATTGAAACGTCTCAATCGATGCATAACTTGTCAAAATCCAATCTACCGTCCTCTGGAAACAGTTCGACTCCAGACCAAAATCAAAATATGAAAAGTGCTTTGTCCTCGGGAAATCTAGCTGTCGGTTCAAGTTCGAATACGGCGAATAAACAAACAGCGGAACAAAGACTCACTCATGAACAATTTCGAGCGGCTTTACAGATGGTGGTAAGAAAAGAGAAATCAGAATCAAAAGCGAATATAAAAGGAATATGATACTTGAAACTTTCTATTCGTTTTAATCGTTTAAATACTGTAGGTAAGTCGAGGCGATCCAAGAGAAAATTTAGAAAATTTTCTTAAAATCGGTGAAGGAAGTACCGGAACAGTATGTATAGCGACTGAAAAAAATACAAATCGGCAAGTGGCAGTGAAGAAAATGGATCTGAGAAAACAGCAAAGGCGTGAATTGCTCTTTAATGAAGTGGTTATCATGAGAGATTATCACCACCCGAACATTGTTGAAATGTATGACAGTTTTTTAGTAGATGACGAATTATGGGTCGTGATGGAATACCTTGAAGGTGGAGCGCTTACGGACATAGTCACGCATTCTCGTATGGACGAAAGTCAGATTGCAACAGTGTGTTCTCAGTGCCTGAAGCCACTTGCATATTTACATTCCCAAGGTGTCATTCATAGGGACATTAAATCTGATTCTATACTATTAACGGCTGACGGTAGGGTGAAGTTATCCGACTTTGGTTTTTGTGCTCAAGTATCCCAAGAATTGCCTAGGCGAAAATCTCTTGTTGGAACGCCATATTGGATGAGTCCGGAAGTTATATCTAGGTAAATTATAATTCTTATTTGCTCTGCAATTGTATCGTTCTTTATACACATGCAATTTATTGGTTATTCCAGGTTGCCATACGGTCCCGAAGTAGACATTTGGTCATTAGGTATAATGATCATCGAAATGGTTGACGGAGAGCCACCGTTTTTTAATGAACCTCCTTTACAGGCTATGAGACGCATTAGAGATATGCCTCCTCCAAAACTGAAAAATTCTCATAAAGTAAGCTAAAATATTTTACAAAACATTCATATCCGTACAAGCAGGTGGACAAATTATGATTAATTATGGTTTTCTTTATTGCTGTTACTATATAAAGGTTAGTCCGCGTCTTCAAGGTTTTTTGGAAAGAATGCTCGTTCGTGATCCAGCGCAAAGAGCCACGGCTACTGAATTGTTACAACATCCGTTTCTTCGGCAAGCGCAGAGTCCAAGTATTTTAATTCCATTAATGAGAGGTTCCAGACATACGAACTGCTGACAAGTCAGTGTAAAAAAGAAAAGAAAAACGAGCGTGGTAATTGATTCATTAACACGGACATAAATTACAAAAGTAATCGTGTTTACGATCGTTTTTTTAGTTTGTTGTTAGATGTTATATTTTAGAATATGTAGAGTTTAGGAACATTTAAGTGGCCTTTGATTGTTAAAAAAAAATTTTACATTCCATTGTGGCCTTAACTTAGAAACGTTATATTATAAATGTGTCTATGTTGCCTGTGATAGGCATTAGCGTTGTAGAAGATATTTTTTATACCGAATTATTTAACAAAACATTGTACACATTCAAGTGCCTTTTGTAAGTAGCACCGTTTTTGTGCTCTTCTACTACCGTTCACACTTTTTATTTCGACGTCGATTTCACTATTTGTGAAACCATTTGCGAGATAATAGAAACAAATTCCATTCCGTTCGTTGATTTAAACGACAATCACAGATACGATTAATTGGTAGAGTACAAGTATTTTTTTTTCTTTTTTTTTTTTTTTTTTTTTTTTTTTTTTTTATTTTTTTTTTTTTTTTTTTTTTTTTGATAAGGTAACAACAGTCATATTTAATTCAGAAGTATCGATAAGACGAATCTAACGCTGAGCATTCTAAGAAAAGAATAACTAGTGTCAACTAACACATTGCTTAAATCAACAATTTATGGCCCATAATATAGTTTAAAGCGGAAAGAAGACACATCGATTTTTTACTCCAATTTATTTGATGCACGTTATAACTATACGCAACTGGAATGAAAGTTACTGCAATTTGTAGCGCGATCGTCCTATTATTGGATATTGTGAACATAATATGATAAATAATCGCGATAAAATGGTTCAAATTACACGGTTATTAAATCTAACGCGTTTTATTCAGTATTCTTAATACATAATCATTTAACAAGAAAATATCCTAAGTTCGAAGGTGCGTTAGAACAAAAGTGGTATTAAGTTAATAGACAACTGTAGTTGTTTACATGCTTTTGAATCTGTAGATATTTCAAGTGAAGTTAATGAGAGAGAATTTTTGAACAATAGTTGTGTCCCTATACTAAGATATCTTAAGACAAACCATAATGATATCTAATGCCATTTATTTTGATCGGTTAAGAGATCAAAATTTTGTACGGACAAAGGCCATCGATCAGATAGATGAATTATGATCACGATAATTTAAGATACACATAGCAATAGGATATTTACAAAATGTAGATATTATCGAATAACACTACATAGATAAAACGTATATAAGCAGGAACGATTGTGGTAGAATGACATTAATTATGTAGTCACTCTTATCTGCTATTCATAAACAGATATTTTTTAAGAAACAAAAATTATACAAAACATTCGCTGTATTTCCGCTATATGTCTCACAAAATTACTTAGCAATACTTTGTGTCATACAAAATATTGATTATCGATAATTAATATCGAACGATCTGTTAAAATGAAACTCAAAGATATATAAAATGGCAAAAAATAAATTTGTTCCGAATAATTCAAGTTTATCGCGTATCAGTACATTTATAAAAGTGTAAGTCAAATGTAATACAGAGTGAATTAGACATTTTTTATTTCATTAAGGATACATTTTTTTTTTATAACTATCGTTTCGAAGGATCAAAAGTATCGAGTTTTACAGTAGTAAAAACTTTCGTACACTTTCAATTTCAAGATTTCCTACATATTAGAATCCGTTATACCTTAATGAATGCATATTGTATAAATGGAGAAAGAAATTTGATTTATACAAATTTGAATTGTAATACGTTGCATACGTTTATCCTTAAATTCTTGTGCAACACCAAAGGATTAACAAGTTTGTATCACGAGTAAGAAGCGTCGAGAAACGTGAAAAGTTAATAAAAGTGAATCGTATAACGATATCAAACCGTATACGTGAAGTGAAATCAAATTTATCTTACCTCTTAATCATGAGAGGCGCTAATGTCGTATTATTTTAGGTATGTACCAAGCGGGTAGAAAAACATTTTGAAATACCATTAGCTGATTGGTGCAACGTGACGAGCCTCCGTTTGACCGAAGTAACCTTCGCGTTATGCTTAGTCATTGGCGCCACTGACATTTCTTACTCAGCGTAACCGATATTGTTCCATTAATTGCATCACAGGGAATTCGCATCGCTCGGTTCACGTGTCAAATATTTATTGGAAAAATAATAGGAATTTTTTTGGATTAAATTAATCCTTTACTTGGAATAATGCTTCTTTAGCGAATAGTGCATGTTCTATATGGCATACGAAGATGGAAAGAGAAAAACGACCAATACTCGTGTCTAGGGGGCATACGTGTTTGTACATTGCTACGTGACTGCGCGCTGCTGCGTAACCGCATACCTACATGTCAGGCTTTTTACTCTCGCCTGTACATCTATTCAGTTTAAGAAATGTATTTTAACGCGAACTCCTGGATCAGTAAGGCTATAAATTGAAATTATATATTACGAAAGGAGGAATATTATTTGACAATTAATTAACGGCAGTTTTCTAATGTAGGAAACAAGTAATTATCGTCAAATATGGAATTATTATCAATACAATGTTTAGAAATTCATGGATATTTTTAATAGGGTAAATTGTTCGTATGATAGTACAATACATTATAGCGTATACGTTCAGATCTTTAGACTATACCGTGATTATTATCGGAATAGAACCAATGAGAAGACAAGTACCATGGAGGCTCGACTTGAGTTGACCTCGAGTCGACGTCGCATGTCCGCCTTTCAAGAGAAACGTGACGAACAAATTTGCGCGTGATTGCGTCATTCTATATCGATACCTAACTGTTTTCACTTCCCTCCTCCCGCCGCTCACTCTCTCTCTCTCTCTCTCTCTCTCTCTCTCTCTCTCTCTCTCTCTCTCTTTCTCTCTTCAGTATCCACAAGTATGCATAGGTACACAACTTTAATACAACGACATATATACCTATGTACATCGGGTTATAAGAAAAATTAACACAAGTTATTTTTCAAAAAATTTTATTTCTTTTTTTGTTATTTCATCACATGTGTATAATTTAATACGATATAAAATATGGTTGCGCACCAAAAAAATTATCATAATCAAAAGAACTGTACTCGTACCATTGATAGCAAAATTTTCAAATAACAATCAAAATTATTTTGATAATAAACGCTTACGATATCGATTGACACGTAGAGAAAGATCGTATCAAGGAGATACATCGCGTTTTATTTATAATTATAAATACATTTAACGTAACCAATCAATGGATCGATCGATTAGGAATTTTAATCGAATTGCGAAAAAGTTCGAGTAACGCTAACAATCTATGGCGATATTACATCATTGCGTTACCGAAATTTTCCTGAATTAAACGAAAATTACGGTTCTCCGTAAAGAACAGAGGTATGTAGCAGAATTTGAAAAAGGAAAGAGAAGAAGCGATATACATGTACGCAATAGACATAGGTCGCGACAAAGATAGAAGAAAGACGTGGAGGTGGCGAGGATTTGGAGAAGGGATAGAGAAGAGAGGGGAGCAGAGGGAGCGGAGGGTGTAGAAGAGGAAGAAAAAAGAAAGATAGGAGATGGCGGCAGCTACGAGGTCATAAATATAAGCGGTGTTATACCCTTCTACGATTGGATTGGTCGAGCCTCCGGACGAGCCTCCGTATTCGTGACGACACGTTACGCCGTGCAACGATAGAAAGGACAATCGACACGGTGGTGAATGCTCCGGCAAGAAGGAAGGGGAACAAAAAAGGAAAGATTCAAGTCAAACCAGACGGGGATAGTAGAAGCGAACAGGCTACGAACGAAGAAGAGAAGAAAGGCGCGACCTTCGAGCGTTGATCGTGATTACGTGCTGCTCGTATCGCACCGAATCGTAGTAAGCCGCTTCGCGTTGTATCGCGAAATATCGAATGCTAAAATCTTATTCAACCATCTTATACTAGTAATTCATTAATCTCCTTTCGTTTCGATAAAAAATAACAGGAAATAGGGAGATAAAGACATCTGCGAACTTATCGACTCGAGGCAGATTCCACGTACGCGACACAAGCGTTTTAAAAATAATCTAAACGATAGAATCAAGAAAATCATGACTCCATGACGAAACATGTGCACGAATGCATGTGTGTGTGTGTGTGTGTGTGTATAATGAACATTTTTCTTTCAATATCCACCGACAGTTTGATCTTATCTATGATATAATAAAATAACTCCAAACGTAATAATTCCGATCACGCTATCTATCTTGCGACAATGCCAGGTCCAAACGGAGTGTACTTTGTACTTGGGTACTTTAATTAAACGATATGCAATTTACGATATTGCTTAAGCTTTGTTTTCATTTAACTGTCGCGACAGCATAGTCGCAAAAGCTGCTTCGCGATAGTAATATTAAAAATTGATAATTCAGATTATAATTAGACGATATTCTTTTGCTAGATCACGGAAGATTTTTTCGCAATACTGCAAAATATCGAAATAATTTCGGAGTTGGAAGCTGAACACGATGCAATTCTATGTACACGTTGGGTCGATCATCGGGGCATAGGACGATTCACGGGCTCCGTAATTCAAATTTTAGAACGCGTACGTTGAAGAGTTAGAGAAAAGACGAAAAGGAATGCGGGAAGAAGGAACAATGGAAGAAAACGGATGGAATAAAACGTAGAGAACGTTTGGCAGTATGGCAGAGAAATAGGGTGGAGATGGGGAGAAAGTGAACAAGGGATAAAGGGAAAAAAGACACAACGATTAACGTTTCGCTTGATCGGTTTGATTATTTTCCCATTCGTTGAATGGACCATTCTTGTTGGCATAATGGACAACGATTATTTTGTTGCACCCAAAGAGACATACAGCAATAATGAAACGAATGATTACATTCTCCCCAGACAACGACGCAATCTTGTCGGCTGTCGTCCTTTTTGCTTTCCGCTTGACATCGCAGGCACGCATCTGGAAATTAATAAACGGACAGTGATAGAAAATGAAACAAATTTGCCGTATATGTATGTAAATGTATGTAAGTATATCGTAGCG